TCAATCCTCACAGCAACACTGTGCAACTGAGCTTTATGTAAGCTAAAAAGTATTTATACATCACCTTATGCTATGCTTTCACTAGGGTTTGCTGGCACAATTGGCTGAGCTTGTACCTACACTAAACCATGGTTTGTTGTGATATGTGAACCTATCTATCCTCTTCCTGGCCTCAAATACTAACTGGAAATTTGATGTGGTTTCACAGTCGAAAAGAGGTCCAAACGTAAGCCTAACCTATCTACTGCAGTAGGTCTCACTAGGATGTACTTTGGAGCCAAAAAAATACAGGAATAGGACATGGCTACTAATGCCTTATGACATAGTCCTAATATTCAGTCAGCACGAGACTTATGCTGTCTTAGAAATCAAGCTGAGGCTGCCTATTGGTGCCAGTTTCCCTCTGCATGGTAGAATTAGGATGCTGGGAGAATGAGGTTTTTTTTTCCTCCTCCAATTATTCTCTGAAAAGCAGTTGGTTCAGTCAAGGTTAGGAAGTCACTAACTCAACGGAAGATCCGTGGGGGCTCTCATGCTTGTAGGTGCTGTATTTCTAAGGGATGGGGACATTTTCAAAATAGAAGCCATATAGCTAATTAAATCCACATCACTCAGCAGATTCTAATGTTTTGAATATTTCAATAATTTTATTTACCAGAATGTACTGATATCAAAGTCTATTTAAAATAGAGAATACAATGGTCACATGAGAAAAAAAAATCTGAGCAGATTCTGCCACTAATAGTTGGGCTGCAATATATCTATGAAAGATTTAGTAGAAATGAAGGCTTTGAGTAAAATTTGGTAATTAATGGAGATACTAGAATGGGTGGGGAAAATACCATAGGAAACAGCAACTTCATAAGAGTTATTATAAGATTAACTAACACAAATCCGATACCCATAATTTTCATATAGTTTTGTTTCTTGGAAGCAAAACGTGAGAACAGGGAGCTGCTCCATTTCCATAGTTTTAGGGTGCTTTGTCCCAGCTGCCTGGCACTGATTATGTCTCCTTATAGTCTGCATGCACCATGCTGTAATCTCACTAATACTACCCTGTTTCTTAGACAAAAGAGAGCTAGTGAAAAGCAAGGTTTTGAAGTGATTAACCAACCTCTGGAAAAAAACCCTCACATTTCCCCACTGGAATTCCCTTTCAAACTTCATAAGCACTTTATGCCTATTGTGTCCCCTCCCCTTCCACCCCCACTGCCATTTTGCTCTCAATCAAGGCAGTTGTACAGGAATTCTATTCAAGGCTAGGGAACATGTGACTGTGGACATCTTCGGTACCCATTAGGCTCCCCTCCCCCTTGACTTTAGCTTATTTTCAGATCCCTTTAAGAAAAATATTAAATGGGTATCTAGCACACTGCAAAGCAAAGTACCCATTGCAAATATTGCCTTTATTTAAAATGATGTCTCTGGGCCCCACAAAGGCATTCTCAGAAAACAGAAATGGTAAGTAGGTGCATCCTGGAGCTTTATCTGTTACTATGCCAGGTGTCCAGGAAAAGCCCAAAACCAAGATCAGATCAGACGGTGGGGATGGCTAAAGGGATTAATGGAGACCAGTGTTATCAGCTTGTCTTCAGATAAATGGGGGACTGTAACTGGCCAGACTAATCAGGCTAAGCATTTTCTGAACTGGCAAGCTTTCCCATGGCAACCATTTTAAGAGAATGGCTACAATGTACTCAAAATGCCAAATCAGCTTACAACTGTCAAAAGGTTCCCTCCTCCTCCAAGATCACAAAAGCTAAGAGATGTGACCCAGAAGAAACAGAGAGGCAACAGAAAAGAAATATGCTAAAGAGAAGGAATACTGAAGAGGTTTAATAACACCTTATTTAATTAAAAGCAGGGAAATGCAGCCAGCTTTTTAATTAGCTCTTTTTCATGCACTGGTGTTCAGAGCAAGAGGAATTATATTTCATCGCTAGGCATTAAGTGGCCTAGAATGGTCCAAGGTGCTTGGCTTTGGGAAGGGATCTCAAAATGCTTGAAAGGATTCAAGAATTCTGGAAGTGCAACATGATACAGAGAGGTTTTGGCCCTTATTAATACAGAGTTTGGGAAGAGTTATTAAGAGTTAAAAGCCTTACTACATTTCTGCAGTGTGTCAGATGTCTCAGGAATAGACATCTTTATATAAATATATATCCAAATATATCCCAGTTTCCTTTTTAGTATGCCCACAGTATGCAAGAAACTCAGCAAAATTGGCCAGCCCTATGGAACATTCTCCCCCCAGAGGCGAGGCAGGCCCCCCACTCTCCCAGTCTTCTGGAAAGGGGTGAAGACCTGGCTCTACCAATTTACATGGGGTGTGAGGAGGGGTAACCAACCCTGGGGGTGGCTGGCACCCTGAAGATGCTCCCATAGGTTAATAAATTTCATTTACCATTGGTTTCTTGGAATACTTTATGTACATTGTTTTATTGTATTTTAATTAGTATTTATTCTTGTTTTATTGTAAACCGCCCAGAGTCGCTCCTTGAGTGAGATGGGCAGTGACTCAATTTGAAATATAAATAAATAATAAATAAAATTCATCCATCCCTTCCTGAAAGCTAGAGCTCTCCATGCTTCCCCAATGTTAATGAGATTCCTAGAGTAAGCTGGATTGTGAGCACTTGGATCTGTTAAGTAATGAAGAGGGGAAAGCCCACCTTATAGAAACTTCTGCAGAACACTATTATTTCTTCCTCTGGGCAAACCAAATCTATTCAGAAGGGGAAAAAACCCTAAAGGATAATGTATAATCAGGATGGAAATGGATGGGATGTTATGATGAGTAGGTCTTCTGGAATAAAGTCACTCTCAAGTCCAGCTCAATTCCTAGTGACTTCTATGGATACATCCATGTAGTTTTTTAAAATCTGTTTTGCCACTGCCCCTTGCTAGATTTTTTTTAAAATCCAAGTCTAGAATACATCACTATTAGCCAAGGTGGTCCCCTACCCATGTATTAACCAGGCCTGATGCTTAGTTTTCTAGATCAGCCAAACTCAACTGCAATCTGCTTAAGCCCTGTTGTAATATGCTTAGTCTTTCCTTATCACCCAGCTAGATGGCAACATCTAGTCAACCTTGGTTATTTTGCAAAAAACCTAAGGAAGAACAAACATGGTGAATACTTAGATATGATTTTGCTGGCAGTCTCCAGGCCCATACTAGACTGGGAAATCAAACAAACATCCTGGAAGGAGGCAACAGCAAACCACTTTGGTATTGTTAAGAAAACTGCATGGATGCGTTTCATGAGGTTACCAGGGGTCAAGTTCAATTTGAAAGAAACTTTACATTTTAGTCTTTTCACTAAGGCATCATTTTAAAATCAGTGCAACATATCATTTATTAACTTGTTCCTTGCTATTTTTCTCCCTAACCACCCCAACCCCCAATATCTGGCTTTGTTCCAACACATATTAAGGCAGTATTGCACAAAATCACTATGTAGTATTATAACCCTCTTTAGTCACATTGAAAGTCCTCATATCAACTTATTAGTGATGTAGATGGAAAGCTACAAGAATGTAATGTAGGTTTTACATTAACCTCAAGGATTTCCTAATGGAAAGAGCTACATATCAAGTGAAGAAAGCAGGTTGAGCATGTGTGTTGGTGAGTCTGACTGCAATTATGTTACATGCCAGCTCTGGCAGAAGGAAACAATTAATTCAGCTTATATTCTGCTCCAATCATGTCTGATTCTGAGCAATTTACAGACCTGGGCATGCTATTTTCTTTCTTCACAGGAAGTCCCTTAGCATATGAAGGCTTCTCCCAAGTAGACAGACAGGTTACTCTCCTTGTCATGTGCTAATTTCCCCAAAAGCTACATCCATAACTATTGCCACCTACACTACAGCAAAATTCACACTTTTAACAGTGGTAACTACAACTTTTGTTTTCTTATTAGCATACAGATTCTAAAAAATTTGTTTATTAAAACCAATGCATCCAGCATAATACTTATGTGGAGCGGCCAACTTAACAGCTACGGTTAGAGAGGCATGATTCTTTCTTTTGAAAGCTTTTTCACATCAGGTGTTATGTATGTCATCATAGCACCTCAGCAAAGAGACAATTTGCATAACCTTGTATAACGTCAAGAACTTGTTCAAATTTAGCCTAAAATCAGAAAGAAAGATTCAAAAAACATTAGCTTTCTTTCCAACAGTTAGACTGCCCTATGCATAACTGCCTCAGCATGTGGCAGCACCCAGCCAAACTTGACTGATCTTGAAAGCAAACCAAGGTTGGTCCAGGGTTTGCGCTTAGATGGGGGATAGCCTGAGAATTCCTGGACTGCTGGCTAGACTGGAAAGCAGGGGGAAAAATAAAAAACCCTTGAAGAAGTCAAACTGATTTTGTACTTCTGCCAAGAAGACTGCATAGATGGGATCCCCAGGAGTGACTCTGAATTAAGGACACCTGTACACTCACTTAACTTTCCAAAGGTCAAAAAAATACTAATGAATATACAAAATACTAAGAAACAAAAGCAAACCATAAAAGCCAATTAAAGTGGAGAAGTGGAAAACACAGCAACATATCACACCCCGGATATTTGGCCCAAAACAAACTCAAAATCTCATGGACTATTTTAAGATTAGTTTCTTAGTTGCTTTCTCTGTAAGGAGTGTTCATGTGACACATAACATTCAAAAGCAGAAATAAGGGGAAAAAATGAACAAGTTTTTAAATTCTCCATTTCCCATGTAACAGGTTTGTAATTTATATGAAATACAGTCAATATTCTTTCTTTCTTTTTCCTGAGTCACAACTCCATTCACACACAGAGGGGGGAAAAATAGGCAATTAATTGCCATGGATAAAGTGGCAACAACACAGAAATCCATATGGGAGTAGCCTGGAATGTAGCTGAAAGGATCAAGCAACAAGATTCAGCCAACGATTAAAAACAGCCATAGGAAGGCAGAAGCTGCAGAGAGAGAAATACTCCCACTTATTGCCTTTTCATTACTGACCTCCTTCAGGCAAGGACTCCTATCTGCCTAGATACTCTGGGGTGTTACAGGGATGAAGCCATGATCTGATTTTACATCCTTCCTGACAAGTATCTTGTCCATCTTCCAGGCAAGTGAGAGATGCTCTTCTCTACAAAGAAATAAGTATAATAAGGGAGGTATAGCTGTCAAAAGGGATTTAACTTCAGTTTCATTCTAAGTTCATGATGAATTTCAGTCATTTTTGAAAGACTTCCATTTTTCACAAACTGATTCTAGAGGTATTTGTGTATTTGAACATCTATGACCTTGATCCTGATCACTGAAGAATCAGACATACTCTGTGTGTGTGTGTGTGTGTGTGTGTGTGTGTGTGTGTTTATTAAATTTCTCCCCACCCATCTCCCCCCATGGGGGACTCTGGGCAGTTCACACA